TGGCTTGGGAGTTTGAATGAATCACTGGGCCCAATAATAATACAGTAGTAGATTAATACCTACCATAATATCATTAGATATGAAAGAAGCGTAGAAGCACAACCGAATCAGAAGGCAAGCTCATCTTAGTGCAATGCGAGAGAAGGTCTATAGCCGGGGACTCCTCTATGGAGTGCCTGGGTATCATTAAATTATTATTATTACCTCAAGTACGGCGCAATATCGTCCTCGACTAGGTAGGTCGCGAGTCGTATACGAGGTACAATCTGTGATGTGGATGCGCTTCAATTTGCTCGGGGCCACGGCCATCCTAGGTAGCTACTGTATGAACAGTAAAATAATAAATATTAGCCTTTCAGGACCGAGTAATGGAAACGGCATTGTTCAAACCCTTTGGAATTTGATGAAAAGGAACCTGCCTCGAATGATCGGGATACATGACTAGGGCCTGTCCAGGGTACAGGTGAGACTATAACTCATTGATCTTTAGCACCGGCAACTAGTTCTAGAGACGGCCATTGATCCGTGCTGGATGGTCAACGGAGAATATTGGAGCACATATTACTCCGTAGAATGGTTCTCATAAAATAATTATGTCGGCACCTCTATCCAAGTATCCATGGATGGTACCTACCTAGGTATGCAATGCAATGCAGGGTATGAACCTTCCATCGTATTGCCGAGTTAACTGGTATTACGACGTATACATCAACCATCATGCTCCTTCCTTAGCATTGCCATCGAGGTTGCAAGGTTAAAGCTCAAAGATCCTCACAGAGAGTACGTAAATCACTGCAGTGTCACTATGGTAAGTCTGGTACCAGTCCCCAGAGCTCGACTCAGCCTGGAGGGCTTGATAAAAAGCATGGAATATCCTAAAAGGGTAAAGTAGCTTTAACGGATCAACTGGAAGTGATCCAGACACGTGCATGGCCACCCGACGCGTCGAAACCACCAAAACAATCCCTAATCAGTGACGCGAGCCGGATGGGGAGAATCACCGATGAACCAGAGAAGATCCTCTGTGTCCTAGCTAGCAACTTCCCTTTCTAAGGTAGTCAAGATCATGATTCTATGAATCATTGCGCCGTTTATCTCTCTGCACCCCATCCCTGAAGACGCGTTCTACATTTCATATACCAAACAGACCTCGCTAACTACGCGTACGAGAGACTTCAACGATTATTGATTATACACAGTAATCCCACTTCATTTTAAAACAAGTAACTCCGTGCACTCCTTTGTGCAAGGGAAAAAGGCTTGTCCTTCCTTTTTGTTTTTCTTCATCTCGCCGCATCCGAAGTCTCTGGATCCGATACAACACAACAATGCCACGCCCACCTACAAAGCGCAATCGTCTCACATCGCGACATGTCCGGGCTTCGCCCAAGGTATCTCAGAAAGCCAAAGATCCGGAAACCAAGAGTACTGCCAACAATTCGAGACCTCTACACGGAACCGAGAATGACAAGAGGCTGGAGGCACAGCCGGCACCTAGTGTCGATGATATCAAATTCGCAAGACAATTGAGGGGTCAGACACCCATGACCAAGAAGCAAGAACAGGCAATTGAGTCCTCGCCAATGGGGGAACGTGGAGCTACGGGCAGCCGGCCACCCACGAGAGCTCGAGGCTATTCATCTACGCTATCAGTTGGCAGACGAGGGGCTGATATGAGCTCCAAAATACCTGGCACTCCAGGATTCGAGAGTTCGATATTGAGCAATTTTAGGAGACGACCTCGGCAAGCAAGCATTCTCCAGATGATGCAGGCAGATGACGGATCTTCTGATTTCGGAGATCTCGACGATGATGATTTTCTTGGTGGACTCAGCCCAGAGGATGAGTCAACGCCACTCAATGTTTCCAGAGGAAAATCCCTCGTTATTAGACATGCCTCTTCCTCGCCTCTTTCGGACCTTTCGCACCCGTCCAGCGGAGGATCGCGCAAGCGCAAGCGCGCCGGGGAGGAGCTCCAAGTTCCCCAGTCACCTTTGGACGTCGTGGAAAACTCACCTGCTGGCTCAATAAGTCCCGGGGTTGGTGATGAAGAGCATGGCACCCCTCGTGAGGCTTCACATCACTTGGCAGACTCGGAAGTATTGAATCGGACGGTGGCACCACCATTGAGCAGCAGCCCAATGTCAAGTCCCCAGAGTAGCCACTCAATGCTGATGGCTGCTCAATCACCCGCAGACTCGCTGGAGCATACGAAGGACCGTAACACAGGAGAATTGAGTGGAAAGCTCACTGTGTCCACAGCAAGTCTTCAAGACAAATTGCTTCCTCGGCGACGTCGTAAACATCGCAGACACCATGGAGTACCCGATCATGTACGTCTAGATGACGAAAGCGCAGAGGACTATTCTATCGACCAGGATGAAGATGAGTTGTCATACTTGCCCACTAGGGAGCCAGCGCGAGCACAACAACGGCGAAAGGACAAGCCAAAGCCATTGGAGGTTGTTCGAACCAAGCACAGGAAGCAAGATGCAGTCACAGCTCTAAATGGTGAAGTCATGAGTCCAACTGAGTCTTCTGCACGCACAAACTCAGCTGTGATGAAGGGCTCGAGGCAAAAGAGAGCTAATGCTCCACAAAGAAATCAGACTGCTGATGTCGACAAGGAGAACCAAGCAATCGAGGTGTCCTCGCCTCTGTCCTCACCACTCGACACGGATGCATTCGATCTAGAATCATCGCCGGTGCCAATACCCGCTAATAATTACCTGAGCGAGGAGCTCAGATTGCAAGCCAAGAAATTTGAGGAGGTTGACAGATGGGAGATGGATTTTGAGGATGTGGTAACATCAGGCAGTCAAGCCAGCCCATGCAGATGAATAATGTATAGCTTGTCTATCGGAACGGTGAATAGCTTTGTTGCTCTTATGAAAGATATTGCATGAAGATATACAAAAAGACCGTAGTCTATCTAATGTCTCGACTACGGAATACTGGTTCTCAAACTATTGCCCGTTCTGTACTCGATAACAGGGTTACACCGACCTTCGAATTGCGATTTAGATAGTACCTCATTCGTGAGAGCCTATACCGACGTTAACCGGCCTGGGCCCCGCATAGCAAGACCCCGCAACAGCCGATTAGCGAGCAAGCTGAGATTCAGTTTATGATATGGGCCATATCCACCGGAGAGATATAGGACAAAGGCTTCAATTCTTTCTCGTTTGTTCTATCAACTAACGTCAAGGCATGATGTCTACGGTAGATACAATTCTCGCGGGCAAGTATCCGGCGAAAGCGCATGCGCGTCGTGTGGCCGAAAGTCTCCAGTCTCACAGAAATGGTTGTCCTGGAATCGTCTACCTGGAGGCTCAGAAAACTCGGTTGATTGAAGACAATGACGAGCCAGTTCCCTTTAGGTACGAAACGGCGTCTTATTCAGGACTCCGCAGCAGTTGGAAAGTTAGATCTGACATATCCCATTCAATATTAGACAACGCCGACCATTCTTCTACCTATCCGGATGTCTGTTACCGGACTCTTGTCTGGTCTACGATCTGAGTGAGGACCAACTTACTCTGTTCATTCCTCCAGTTGACCCAGAGGATGTGATCTGGTCCGGTCTTCCCATGTCTACCGAGGAGGCTCAAAACCAATACGACGTCGATCGCGTGTTGGTGACAACCGAAGTGAATAGCACGCTCGCGTCAATTGCGTCCAGCCATGGCGGCAAGGCTATTGCTTTTACCATTGCAGATCAGGTCTCCGAAAGCACACAATTTCACGGCTTTTCTGAGGTGAACCAGTCTGTGCTGAAGGGAGTCATCGAGCAGTCTCGCGTGGTCAAGGATGAGTACGAAGTCGCGTTGCTGAGAAAGGCAAATGATATTTCTGCCAAGGCGCACATTACAGCTATTAAGGCATCTCAAACCGCCGTGAACGAGCGTGAAATCGAGGGTGCTTTTATTGCAACTTGCATCGCTAATGGCGCTCGAGAGCAGTCCTATCACCCTATCGTCGCCTGCGGCGAGAATGGTGCCACTCTTCACTATGGGAAGAATGATGATACACTGGTCGACCCGGTGACAAATCGAAAGAAACGCAATGTACTTATTGATGCCGGTGGAGAGTACCGCACCTACTGTGCAGACATCACTCGCGTCATTCCCGTAGGCGGGAAATTCACTGCAGAAACGCGGCAGATCTACGACATTGTCCTGAAAATGCAGACAGAATGTATTGCAATGCTTAAGGAAGGCGTTCAGTGGGAGGATGTGCATGCCCATGCCCATCGTGTTGCAATTCGAGGCCTCCTTAAGTTAGGCATTCTGCGAGGCGCCGAGGACGAGATTTTTGAAAAGAGAGTCAGTGTCGCGTTTTTCCCGCATGGTCTCGGACATTATCTGGGGATGGACACTCATGATACCGGCGGCAATCCGAATTACGCGGATAAGGATACCATGTTCCGGTACCTTCGCGTCAGAGGTCGTTTGCCTGCGGGCTCGGTGATCACCGTCGAGCCAGGCGTAAGTTGGAATATTTCCATGTTTCCTAGACTGATCCACTGACGCCCGCTGCGACTCTAGGTATATTTCTGCCGGTTTATCATCGAACCTTACATCAGGTCCCCCGAGTCAAACAGATACATCGATACCAACGTCCTCGAGCGTTACTGGAGCGTGGGGGGTGTCCGCATTGAAGACAACGTTCTTGTGACGAAGGACGGATACGATAATCTAACTACGGCGCCAAAGGCTGTTGATGAAATAGAGAGACTAGCTGTCTCCTAAGCGTTGTGCCTGCAATGACAGTAGTGCTGTTAGTTGGTAGCTGCCACATACTCTTCACGAGAACCAATTCTTGTCTCGACATTGTACTGTTACATTGTACTGTGAACAGTAGTTGGGTAATGTAAAAGAGAAGAAGAGGAAAGGTAATTACACTCAAGTCCTTTTTGACACAGATGCAGATACAATCGCCAAAACGTAGGACAACAGATAAGGTAGGATATTCAAAAGGTCACCTCAAGGGGATTCCATCTAGATACCGCTCCTGAGACGTTTCCTACCACTGCCTTTGATGCCCGATTCTGTCTCTGCTCGATCCTGGGCACGCTTCTCTTTTTGGTCAAGAACAAGATTGAGTACATCAAAGCAGAACTCAGGCACTTCAAGACACAGCTTCTTGAACTCATCTTCAGCCTCGTGGCGCAGCACATGGCTTCTGGTGGCCCAGAAGGAGGCAACGGGCTTTCGAATAGTGACGTCGTCGACCGGTGTGTGCGTGTAGACATAACGCGCGTATGCGATTTCTCCGTGAGAGGTACTGTTGATACGGTGGATCTTCGAGTGTGCCAGACTCTTGAGCGCAGGCACGCCGAGCTTCTCTGCTAGAGTGTAGACACGCGCATGTTTCAACAAGAGCTCGCCGCTGTCATCCAGTTCCCCTACAACGTCTTGCTCCGCGGATAGATCGGCGGGGGATGCGGAGTAGTCATGGGTATACTGGAACTGTAGGAAGCAACCGAATGCCTCGACGTTCTCATCAGGAAGCTCAATACGCCGCTGCATGCCAGATATTGTATTAGTAGAAACATCCAGAATACTGCTCAGGAGGAAGCTAGTACGTACGGGACCTGATTCGCTGAATGCGGCGACAGCCTGAGCAAGGAATGGCGATTCCAACAACAAGCTCTGGTGCGCGGTTAAGGAAGTCTTGTGCTCGTCCTTCCCGACGATGAGTTCCACAATGGGGGACGTCAGGTAGCTAAGTGATGTGAGCCGTGCATGCGCCAATTGGGTTTGCATTGTTGAAGCTTCCCAAAGATATGAGCTTACTCGAGAAAATGAAGGCCCGGCTTTTTCTTGGGAGGTTGCGGCGCCTCTGGTGGTGCTGAACTAGCTGGCTGCGCGTCAGGCAGAGAAATATCCTGTTGTGTCGCGTCTGCTTGGGATTCATTCATCGCGCCCTGCTGAGTCTCATTCATATCCACATCGGGAGTCTCAGTGTTTAGGGTGCTCTCAGGAGCCTGAGCGACCTCCGGCGCGTCTACCTGAACTCGGGGTGTATCCATTGGAGATAGTAGTAATGAGGTTCAAATCAAGAACTGATTGTATATATTAAGAGAGGATAAAGGGCATCAAGTTGAAAAGAACGTATAGTTACACAGTGAGTATCAATTGACGATAGATGCGCGATGAGTGGGAAAAACATTGACAGCTAGATCATGTTCTGGGAGCTCAATTGTACATGTAGTAGATTACCCGTAACTAGTGCGTACAGAATACCTCTCTACCCCGAGCTTTGAATGGAACCTGTCTATTATTACCTAAGCATGCCACATTTGTGCTAACCTAACGTCTCTAAATATTAATTAGACAGACTGAATAGAGATAATGGACGAGATTTGAGAACTTGAGAACTTTGGTTGACACGCGTTTGACTGATATGTCTGTTTTACCTCGACCGGCGTGCTGCTGCAACGAACACCTGAGCTACCTTAGGTAGCACACAGGGGTACTAAGGCAAGTACAGTGATGTATGGCGTAGCTACAAAGTCCTTAATAATAATATAGCATAGCTACGAGAAACGACACTCGTCATTTGTGAATGATAAAGTATTGAGTGCGTACACATAGGTATGGAATCATCAGATACCTGCCAGCATCACTCTCCAAAGACATCGAGAGGCGGGGAGATCGTAGAGAGACAGATTCAAAGACGAAGTTTGCTGTACCTCATCTATTTCAATTCCCTCTATATCTCTATCTTTCCATGGATATTGCTGTACGTAACGGGAATACATGAATTTTTCCCATCTTCCGCATGTGGCCGCGTCCGGATATATCCTCCCCTCAAATGTCCACTTGTCAGTTGATCGGTTCAGGTAAGGTATCCATAAGAACCCAGGGAATCCTTTATGATTGGTGTGCCTTGCTTTCAGCTTCGGCGGCTAAGCTTCCCTCGAAGCTATATCTGCACTGGTCCAAGACCAACATTCATATCTGACGTTCAAACCAGGTGGACTGTACGGTTTTCTCACAGCCAAAGACGCAACATGGCGACCGTTGTCAACCCCCCCAGGGATCCAAATACCCTGAGCAATTACAATAATTGGGTGTCTACTCATATTACCGCAAATTTTGACATCCTTTTTGATCAGAGAAAGCTTGCTGGAAATGTGATCCATCAGTTCCGTTCTACCACCCATGGCGAGTCCAATCATATCATCCTGGACACCAACCATCTTGATATTGGTGGTGTGAAAGTCAACGGACAGCCATCCGAGTGGGAGTTTCTTCCTCGACTGGAACCATACGGCACCCCTCTGAAGATCAAGCTCGATCAAGGTGTGAAGCTCAATGAAACTGTTGAGGTCGACGTATGTTGCCGTAATCTCCATTCTTAGGCAATGTATGTCCCGGTCTAATGAGTTCTAGATATCCGTCAAAACCACCGAGAAGTGTACTGCTCTTCAATGGCTGACACCTGCTCAAACATCGAATAAGAAGCACCCTTATATGTGTAAGTCAAATCGCTCTATGGGCGGACTTTCCCTGCAAAAAGACTCAAACGAACTATGCAAGAATCCTGGATGTAGCACATGAGCCTAGTAGAGGAACGAACAGATGTTGACAGGAGCTCTTTTCAGTTTCTCAGTGCCAGGCTATACACGCCCGGTCCATCTTTCCCTGTCAAGATACGCCGGATGTCAAGTGTACGCTGGACTTCAACATCACTTCGCCTCTTCCGGTGATTGCCAGCGGACTTCCCGTTCGGAGCTCATCTGAGGCTCCGAAGTCCGATGGTAAGACGTTATACAAGTTCCACCAGAAGGTCCCAATTCCGAGTTATCTTTTCGCGTTAGCTAGCGGGTGAGCAAACCCCCCCCCCCCCCCAACAAACACAAAAACCCCAATCTTCCTTGTTCCGCTCTTCATTTACGATTTTGTCACTCCTTGGAACCATTCAGCGAGCTTCATCTGACATAAAGCCTTAAGTGATATATCTGAAGCCCCAATCGGACCCCGTAGCGTCGTGGCGACTAGTCCCGACAAGCTCAACGAATGTCAATGGGAGCTCGAAGCAGATACGGAGAAATTCATCAATGCAATCGAGGTGTGTCTGAATGGCCGAGCGAAGTTAGATATTTGACTGACTTGCGTACAGAAAATTGTTTACCCTTACGTTTGGGGAGAATATAATGTATTGATCCTGCCCCCGAGTTTTCCGTACGGGGGAATGGAAAATCCAATCTTTACATTCGCCACCCCCAGTATTATCTCAAAGGTATTGCATTGACTCTCCATTACTTCGGAAGTGCTTTGGCAGTTCTAATCTACCGCGCAGGATCGGGAAAATATCGACGTTATTGCTCACGAGCTTGCGCATAGCTGGAGCGGTAACCTTGTCACCAATGCCTCGTGGGAGCATTTCTGGTTGAATGAAGGCTGGACTACTTACCTCGAGAGGCGGGTAAGTCTCCTTCCTTGGCCTTCTAGAGGGTAGACGTATTGATTGTTGCTAACCGCACGAAGATCGTAGCTGCAGTGTGAGTATTCTTCTGCCGAGCGTTCTGGCTCCTCATCACTAACGGCTGTAGCCACGGCGAGCCTTATCGTCATTTCTCCGCCATCATTGGGTGGAAGGCTCTCACAGACTCTGTAGAGCATTTCGGTCATGAGCATGACTTCACCAAACTTATCACCAACCTGAAGGGCATGGACCCGGATGACGCTTTCTCAAGCATTCCGTACGAGAAGGGATTCAACTTTCTGTTCCACCTGGAGAATCTGGTTGGAAAGAGCAAGTTTGATCTATTCATCCCTCACGTATGTTGACAGACCTGCCTTGATAAGGGCATTCCGCTAACCATGTTCAGTACTTCAATAAATACAAGGGCAAATCACTTGACTCCTATGAATTCAAGAGCACAATCTTGGATTTCTTCAAGGATGATTCGGAAGCCTCGACAGCACTCAACGAGCTTGACTGGGACAGATGGTTCTATGCCCCTGGTCTGCCTCCGAAGCCAGATTTCGACATGTCGCTCGTTGATGTTGTCTATGATCTAGCTAAAAAGTGGCTATCTTTGCCTGACTCTTCCTTCAAGCCTCAGCCAGAGGATATCCGAGGCTTGACCGCGAATCAAGTCGTGGTTTTCTTGGAACAGATTCTCGTGTCCGAGCGTCAGCTCAGCCCTGAATTGTCTAAGCTGATGGGTGAAACATATGGACTTGCCGGGAGCCAGAATATCGAGGTGGCCAACCTGTACTTCCAAGTCGGTCTGCAGGCAGGCGATGCAAGTGTGCTTGACCCGACGGCAGATCTACTTGGCAAGATTGGTCGAATGAAATTTGTGCGACCCTTGTAAGCTATTCCTACAGATGCTACTTTCGAGCAAGTCGTCCTGAAGCTAATCTTGGGTGCAGGTATCGGAAATTGGCTAAGTTTGACCGTAAGCTTGCAATTGAGACTTTTGAGAAGCATAGGGATTTCTACCATCCTATTTGCCGTGCCATGGTTGAAAAGGACATTTTCGGTAAGAAAGACGAATAAAGCGAGGTGTAACGCTGGTCACTTTACGCATGTTCTCCTTCGTCCGGTAATATCAGTCACTCGCCTCAGGAGAGGCACAGAATTTAGCTCGAAACGTCTGGCGAGCGTGACTTTTGCAAAATCAGCATGGCCGTACCTAACTTCTTCGGCCATCAACAATTGAATTGGTGTTGAGGCAGAACAGCTGAAGAGACAATGGTATGTGTACGTCACGACTTTTTATAAAATAGATGATGGACAACATTGCATGTTCTTGAGTTAGGAAGAATGGTCAGTCTTAAGAGTCGGGATGTGCATAGTCCTGGTTTGCATTCAATCAAATACATGGAGGATTGATTTACAGGGTCATCGCTTCCCTTCGACCAACTGCTTATCCAATTCCGAATAACCAAAGATGCCGGGCTTTCCACCGGGCCTGGGGCCGATATGTAGAATTAGATCGGCTTCGTTAATTTGGGAGAGCTCCGATATAACGCGGCGCATATATGCAACAACCCGTGCTACCTTAGTCCAATCCATATCTTCACCATGCGGCCCGGTGTGGCTTGCCTTCCAGAGATTTCTCCACACAGCAGCCCCTAGCACGGCGTCACCTTTCACCAGGCCTTCGTCGTATGCAGCAAGGACGCCTCGCCATTGAATAAAAAGATCTTTAAGAAACTTGTTCCGGATAGCGCGACTTGTCAGACCATGAAGAACATCCATGCGATGCTCCGCATTATGTGAGAAGTGGTCTATCAAGTGCCGGGAGTACGTTTGCAGGCTTTCATATGACGGCAAAGCGCGGAGTCGGACGGTGAGAAGGTACATGTGCAGAAACGTAACCTGCGACCAAGTCGAGAAGGTTGGAACCAATCCCAAATCTGGGCGTACTTAAGTCAGCCCTCCGCGGCTGTGATAGAAAACAAGCGCACTAGACTTTCACGTCCAGTACATACCTTCGTACCACCACCCCTCTCCAACTCCAAGATCCTCCCCGGCTTCAGTTTTGGGAACTTGAGCCCCTTTCTGGGATAATTGGGGAATGCTGTAGTCGGCTTGACTGGAACAAACCTCAAATAATTTCTGTGTCATGCCGTATGCGACATATGTTTCCACAGCCGTTCCAGGACGAGGCATTATAGCCCTTGATAATCGTGAAGAGGCCCGCCAGTTCGGGACTGAACCTAAAGTCTGCTGGACCAAACGGGCATTGCGGTTCGGATGGGCCGGAGAGTGCAAGGAGACAAGGCCCGGAGATACAGGTTGCGATGCGTTAGGCGCAGATATGTATAACGATCGTCGATGACTTGGGAGCGAAATTACGGGCAGGTTGAGTGCATGCGCCTACAGTTCGTTCCATGGTCAGTCACGCAATTTTTCAGAGTCGACTTCGGATAATTGTGCTGCTGCATACTTGAGATTGTGGACACTCCGATTTGCGTAGAGCTCGGACCCAAGTCAGATTCAAACTTTTGGAAGGCATTTTTGATCGAAAAAATCCGGCCAATATAATTCGCTCAATGGCTGGCATATATGCGTCGGGATGAAGCTCGTTCTGAGTAGAGACTGATGATGCGTGGAGCGCGGAAGCTCTGTTTGCACTGTTTGCTCAAGATTGACTATCTCACCAACGCAGACAGACCCAGTAGAATTCCCCGCCAGCTAGTCTAGATCATTCGTGACTACAATGACATACAAAGCCCGCCTTTGAATTTGTAATCATCAACAGTAAAGGCACTTCGCAAGTTGTTTGTTTGTTGAAGGCAGGGGTTCAGGTACCTTTAACTGGTTGCGAGTCTCTCATGGGAGACGGTGGATGAGCCGTTACTATGGCGGAGGCCACAGAAAGAGGAGTTCGAGGGAGTGCGAAGCGATGTTGATCGACTCAATCATCCTGCCACGGTGGCCAATAGGTAGTTGCACAGGTTTTATAGTGGTTTGTGCTATGCATCCAGATTCACTTTTTCCAAGCGCTTTTCTATGATGGGGAGAATCTCAGAGAGCCTGTTTGGGTCTCTCATGATTGCCGGGACATCGTCTCTCGTCGTCGCTAGAGACTGTAAAAATATCATCAATAGACTGATCTCTCATGGGACAAATGAGTCATTTAGAGCACAATACCTGGCGGATTGTTTCGTAATCGCATTCCCTAGATTGATATTCTCTAATGACCTCCTTACTCTCGAAGTCGACGTATAATCTGGTATCTCGAAGCCGGAAGAGTACGTTATCGAGCCTCATGAAAAATCTTGAGAGTAGGAGAAGTCTGTCTGGCATTACGCGAATCTTGCAGGACAGCATAGCAATGCCGTTGTCAGCCAGTTCATCTTCATACAGGATGACCTCATCAAAGAACAGTATCGGATCTGGGCGCTTCAGTAACTCGATAGGTATGGGCTTCGTCGTCGTCTCAAAAGGACGACTGTTGGGATGAACAGTGCCCATATAATCTGTGGTGTAGGACCAATCAAACGGTTTGACAACCTCCTTGATACCTTCATGGGCTTTCTCCCTGTTTCGTGTTAGGTAGATGAGGATCGGCCGCACCATACAGAGCTGGCTTACCTGCTCTTCTGCCATTCTTTTGAATGCGCGACTCTGAGCATAGAGGTGCCCGTCTTGTCTACACGATCCAGCGCGTCAAACGCATTGAAAGTAATGCCCCAATCCTTCTTTTCAGATTCGACGGTGACATAGTTATCGCCGAAGATCATTTCCGGTGGCGCAATACCCAACCTTTTCGTCATCTCCTCAATTGGCTCGGCTTTCAAAATAGGAAGCTTCTGAGTGATTATTCTGAATCCTTTCACCGAGATAACATTGGGCCTCTGAAGCTCTGGCGAAACTGCGGAGGCATTCATAGCGGATGCGGAGCCTGCTGAGGCCATTCTCTAGTTTCTTTCGAGTACCAAAAATTGAAATTTGATTGTTGAACCCCTTCAAATCAGCGCCTCAGTAATCCGTTTACAAGGGGTGTATATTTCTGTCATCCATTTAAACATGCCGCTAAATCGAACGATATATATTCGACCTCGTCGCCAATAATAGATACCCCGCGGTGTCGGAGAAAGAGGCGGTCCGATTCGTTGCTGTGGTGATGTGTCAAAGGTGCATAACTAGATAAACAAGTGGATGGTTGGATATTCCTCTTCTCTTTCTCAAAGGACTCCCGACTACTATTTATTATTTGACACTCCGAATCTTCCATTATCAGTTCAATTATGATTGCATAAACCGTTAAAGCTCCTCTGAATCGCACAGTCTTACTTGCTTCTCCTCTTCCCAAAGCTGTTGATAATTCTCATTCCAAGATTCTCATGGCTACCAAGGCGCTAGAGGCTCGTTTTGAGCACCTCTCTGTCAAAGATGATGCTGATCCTGGGAAGAATGGCAGCACATACCCAAAGCACAAGGTAAACCTCTTGCAATGGTCTTTGGGGAGAGGGGAAAAGCCTGCTAATCCGCCTCGACAGGGCTCCTTGTCAACAGCGGTGTCCCTCTCAGGCCTCGGAGCCGCTGGGCAGTTTAACAGTGGCTCAAGTCGGTCAACCTTATTGAAGCTTGCCTTGCAAAACACAAATGAGAACAAAGTGAATGCGATGCATGCCGGCTCATCCCCTCTCAAGGGAGCTCAGAGCACATTGCCGCACCGTGACACAGATGAGAATGGAGAACCGCGACACACAACATCATTATACGAGCAGCCGGGCCCCAAGAAATTGCATCTGGGAATGTTTGAGATCGGCAAGCCCTTGGGAAAGGGAAAATTTGGTAGGGTTTACCTGGCCAAAGAGCGATCGTCTGGCTTCGTTTGTGCTCTTAAAGTCCTGCACAAATCCGAGCTGCAGCAGGGCGGAGTGCAGAAGCAAGTTAGACGCGAGATTGAGATACAGAGCAACCTACGTCATCCCAATGTTCTCAGACTTTACGGCCATTTCCATGATAGCAAGCGGATATTCTTGATCCTGGAGTTCGCCGGCCGAGGAGAGTTGTACAAGCACCTCCGAAAGGAGCATCGCTTCCCCGAGTGGAAGGCAGCTCAATATATTGCCCAGATGGCTGCCGCATTGAAGTACTTGCATAAGAAGCACGTCATGCATCGCGACATCAAACCGGAGAACATACTTGTGGGAATCCACGGGGAAATCAAGATCAGTGACTTTGGGTGGAGTGTCCATGCCCCCAATAACAGAAGGCAGACGATGTGTGGGACACTGGACTATCTTCCTCCCGAAATGCTCAAGTCCAACCCACAAGACAACTACTACAGCGAAAAGGTTGATTTATGGAGCTTGGGCGTGTTGACTTACGAATTCTTGGTTGGGGAAGCGCCCTTCGAAGACACTCCCGTCATGACGCAAAGACGAATTCAGAGGGCGGACATGACGGTGCCTTCATTTGTCAGTCCTGAGGCAAAAGATCTTATCAAGAGAGTATGCCAACCCTACCGCTCGAGGCAAGTACACTTGCTAACATTCCAACAGTTGCTCGTTCTAGACCCAGACAAGCGCATTTCCCTTGATGAGATCCAGCGACATCCCTGGATCCTTAAACATTGCTTGAAGGATGACCGGGTCACGAAACGGAGTTCTGGTTCTTCAAAGGAAGTTAAAGCATGATGGTAAGACACATTCATTTCTGGAGTTTGGGTGTTGTACCTCCTTTCCTTGCCAGTCAGTTCATTTCAGCCTGTGTGTATGGAGTTGGAAGGTGCTTTGTGCTTTTCTTTTCTTTTTCCCTTTTTTCCTCCAAAGATTTGAACCAATACGGCTCTAGCTCGGCGTCATCTGGTATCTTCTATTTGTAACATCGGGAACTTGAGTATAATACATTGCAAAGCGCAGATTTCACGCACAAAATCAGACAGGCAGGGTATGCTTGACGTATCTTCATAAGAAAACCACAAGTCTCAACGGTAAATCTCATCGAAGGGCCGCGTGTCTCTGAAACAGCTGTCCCAAACCTCATTGACCACTTTCTCCGCATGGGCTTCATCCTTGCACCCAGGTCTAGCTCTTACTGACAAGACGGCCCTTCTTCTTACACACTCCTGATGTTGTTGCGTGAACTTCCACTGACCACGTCTGAAGAATTCTCGCGCCCATCTGCACTCACCACTAAGTGAGCTTGCTCGGATCTGCAATAAGTCAGTTAATGCTGGCTTGGGTCTCGCGAGAGTTCAATACCTCTGTGCAAGCTGCATGCCTCAGATTATCCGTCCAGTCCACCTTAAATCTTAGGTGGTCATATGCATGGACCATCTCATGTGCCATTGTGTCCTCCATATGCCCCTGGTCCTTCATCTCGTTCGCGCAAAGCAAGATGCCATATTCTGGATCAAAGCCCCCAGCTTTCCTGCTCGTACAGCGGCGGCAATAGATATTGTGACTGGAAAGATCGCCCCCTAGCTGTCGAATATTGTCGCCCAAAAACCGTATGATCGGACCTGGACAAGCACATGTTCGTCAGACAACTTCCATAGAGACCCGGTTCAGAGGAGCTGGTGAAAAGTGGATAAATATGGACAGCAATTCTGTGTGAAGTAATCATGAAAACTTCGAGTAGATTCAGAACTCACTGTACTGTAACAGGTAGTCTCTTTGATCTTCACAGCGCTTGCAATCTGCGGCTTCATTGCGGATATCTCGTGCGATCCGGAACTGTTCCTTTCCCTCATCCGTCATCTTTCCAGTCAGGATAGCAAATATATTGCGCCATTGGGTCCATGTGTCATCTCCAGGGATATATCCGTTATCAGACATGCCGCCGGTAGAAGAAGTTGGGCCAGGTTGCGAATCCGACATTTCTCAAGCCAAGTTGCTAACTTTCGAAGCTGTATCAGAGATCCGTTATCCACCAGTGGATCTACTTTAGAGCGCGGAAGGAAGAAGATTCGTCAGGGCTCTCCGCATATGCGGTGACGGGCGGCAAAACAAATGGTCCGCAATCGGATTGTCCGTGAGTTCGTTAAAGATGAAATGAGTTGTCAGGATTTCAGGCCCAAGAATGATCTGTTGGATTGTTGACTTTCTGTGTCATGGGACTTCCTAATTGCTTCTGAAAGTCTCCAATAAATAATCGTAACAATGCTGTCGGAGCGTCTCACCATTGTAATAAAACTAGGTGCGGGGATCTGTTTTTCTGTTTTTCTGAATGATCCTATATGTTGTTTGAGAATGACTGACTCACCAGTTGAATAGGGACGAGCTCCATAGTTGATGAGAATACTCATGAGCCCATTCTCTCGATCTTGACCTTAATCGTCGAGACAGCCGCCAAGCTGCATAAGGATGGCCACAATGTAGTCCTCGTTTCTTCTGGCGCTGTTGGCGTTGGTTTGCGGAGGATGGATGTAGACGAGAGACCCAAATATCTTCCTCGCATACAGGTATAAGCCAACGTTCTCAAGTCCCGCAAGGGTAAAGGTTCTGACCGGTTGCAATTTTCAGGCGCTAGCAGCTGTCGGACAATGCAGACTCATGAGCCTGTGGGACGGTTTATTTTCACACCTTCGACTTCCGGTAGCGCAGATCCTCTTAACCAGAAATGACATTGCGGATGTGAGGACTTATTCACTACAACTGCTGAACCCAAAATATCTAATTTCGGCTTTAGAGAACACAATACATCAATGCTCAAAACACTTTTGACCAGCTGTTCGATATGGGAGTCATCCCCATCGTTAATGAGAACGATACGCTGGCGGTTTCTGTAAGCATCCTTCTGTCTCATAGATGATCCATTGATCTGACGAAATTCACAAGGAAATTAAATTCGGTGATAATGACACTTTATCAGCCATAACGGCGGCCATGGTGAAGGCCGATTACCTCTTTCTGATGACAGATGTCGACTGCCTATATACCTCGAACCCTCGTCACAACCCGGATGCTAAGCCCATCGAGGTGGTTTCCGACATCTCCTCTCTGGAAGCCGATGTGTCGTCTGCTGGTTCATCTCTCGGAACTGGTGGAATGAGCACAAAGATTGTAGCCGCAAAATTAGCAACCAGTGCTGGAGTGACAACGGTGATTACCAAGAGCTCCAAACCGGGCAATGTTCTGGAGATCGTGAAGTATCTCCAGCAAACGCAACGAGGCACTCCGGGGCAATCTTCAACAGTAGAAGGAACGCCATCAGAGTCACAATCACCTCTGTCGCCACCTCTACATACGCGTTTTCTGCCTTCAGACACACCAATTCAATCCCGATCATTCTGGCTGCTGCATGGTCTCAAGCCACATGGAAGTTTGTACATCGACCATGGAGCATATAGCGCTCTTCTAAACAAAGCCAGTCTCCTACCAGCAGGTGTCGTCGGTGTAGATGGCCAGTTTGGTCAACAGGAAGCCGTGCGACTGGTTGTTGTTGAGCGGCTCTCGCCCGACTCCCTCAACGGAGACTTCCTCCACCACGGGCAGGAACCCAAGGAGGTTGGCCGCGCACTGGTCAATTACGGTAGCGCTGAGATTGCACGCATAAAGGGTCATAGAAGCACACATATCCAATCCTTGCTAGGATACGCTGATAGCGAATACGTTGCTCTTCGGGATAATATATCCTTTTTTCGGTCGGAGGATTCCCCACGCCAATAGCACTTCGCAACCTTGGAACGATTTCGGCCAATGACAAGACCTCTTACGCGAAATGGTACATAAATCGAGTCGACATGATTCGAATGATTTCTTCTTTTGCACATATCACAAGGATACCCTTCTATTCTTACGTTGGAAATTGCATTTTGAGCGACATTCAGCAGCCATCAAGATGAAGTGGACGAATGACGGAGTGTGATTGTGTTTATCAATTCTAGGCTTATTTTATTATAGACCGGAAATAGAAGGAGATTCAACACCGCTAAATTGGCCGATAGCAGGCAGAGCCTGTG